TTAGACAGACAAACAATTGATTTACTAGTATATGTACACATATGTGTGTGTGTGTGTGTGTGTGTGTGTGTGTGTATGTGTACCTGTGTATGTCCCCGTATGTGTGTGTGTATGCAGGTAAAAAGCTTTAGTTGGTTGCTTATTCAGCCGTTGATGACGATTTCATTGGTGTATGATAAATAGATCATCATCGACTATTCAGGGATAACACGACCAAACAGGCCTGTCATCATCAACCTTATCCTGTGTCACCAACCGGAAAATCATATCATCCCATTTAACATTCGCACTCTCTCATTTTCATCGGTTTATTTTGCCAATAATTTTGTAAAATTACTATTTTGATATATATTCTAAATTCTATCTGTCAAATTATATCCAGAATCCAATTTTTCAGAATCTGATTCATCAGTTTCCTGATTCATAACATCCATTAGTTAATTATTTGATATTCCTGATGCTATTTACCTCAGCTCAGATAATTGATTAAATTGCTTGATATCAGGTGGAAAATATATTTCCTTTATCGCAATGATAATTACAATTTCAGGTTAGTAAATTGATTTATATTATGATATAATATGATAAGAAACCTGATAATAGCAACTATTATATGCTACCGGTTAAATATTCCGGTTGTACGATTCATTCATTTCCAATAAGTAAATAAAGTAATTTTCCTGAATTACTGTCAATCATTTTTCCATAATTCAAAATAATTTATTAAAACCGGTTTTACTTACATCATTTCAATGATTAAATATTATTGGATATAATGTATTTAAAAATCCCAAAATTATTTCTCAATTTAATTTTCTTCGAGTTTTTAATTTCCTATTAATTTTCATTTCCTGAAAAGTTTACTATATCGCATTAAAACGAGTTAATTTTTTAAAATGATTGATATAGGCCAAAAAATGATTGATTCCTCGATAGGTATTCATTTAATTGAAATGTGCCACGACTATCTACACGTTACTTACGTATATTACGTGATATACTTTTCAAATACCTGAATTTGAAAAATATTCATGAAAATTCAGAAGTTTCATTTATTTTATTTACCTTAATAAATTACATTTATCCGATAAATTTCCATTTCCCTTCTAGCATTATGATAATATTTATCAATTCGATGATTTAATTAAACGAAGCAGTAATTAATTTGCAACCATATTCAAATATATCTATAACAAGTAAAAGTAAGTTTTTCTAAAATAATTTTATGACTAGTTAGAAATTATTACAGATTAGGTGATATAAGAGAAATAAAGAATTTAACATAATATCTAATAATTAAGCATCTATTGTAATTCCAATTAATTACTCATTAATTATCCTCAATTTTTTGGGATACATTTATAACTAATTTCAGTGCAAAACGATGAAGTGAGCTAACTTATTAAAATTGAATTAATTCATTAATTTAATTCTTCTTTTTCTTTTTTCAATCACAAATTCTCATAATCATAAAGTAAGCAATAATTTTTGATCAAATTCA